TCTTTTTTTTTTTTAATTAATTTATTTGTTTTTAGTTTTCAACATTTACTTTCACAAGATTTTGAGTTCCAAATTTTCTCCCCATCTCGTCCCTCCCCCCACCCCAAGATGGCATGCACTCTGAATACCCCTTCTCCTAATCTGCCTGGAGGAGAGATCTTACCAGTCTTATTTGAGTCCAAGATTTCATTAACACCTTTAGGCCCCCTCACTGCTTTCAACCTCTTGAGCCCCACATAGTCGCTAGAGGGACAGTCAACCTGGGAAAGGGGGAGCTGATGGATCAACGTTGGGCCCCTTCCACTGCCTGGTGCACCTTTCAGTCAGTCAGACATTTGGACAGTCAACCGGCTGGTCCATCCATTGGTCATTTGAGCTGCATGCTATTCACTTAGTCAGTCACTGGACCAATTAGCCCTAAAGCCAGCACTGGGTAAGTGTGTCTAGAGCCCAGCCCTGCACACTGTAGAGAAACAAAGGGAAGAGGATCTAAGGGTCTTTCCTTGGCTTCAGTCCACCTAGTAGTCAAATAGGTTATTACTAATTCTAGCATAGCTACGGTGGCTTTGTTGGCCTGGGATTTGTTGACTCTCAACTCTACTAACCCCAGAGCTGCCTCAGCCACAAGGGCCAAGAATCTCACATTCTCCTCTTGACCCACCTTTGACCTCAATAAATGAAGGTTTTGGTATCTCTAGGGGGTAGGGGTGGGAAGAGAGAAGGGGTTTCATTGACAATTGTTGGTATAAACTACAAGTAGAGGGGATGAGAGGGGGCAATCTTCTGGGGACAGAATGGAGCTAGGGCCACAGCTAGCAAGATGAAAGCATGAAATATGCATATAACTTGACATATACACATACAAATACAAACTATACAAACAGTAAGTACTGAAGAGTTCTACAAAAGGAGAAATCAATATGTGCTAGAGGGATCTAAGAAGGTTTCCTGGAGAAGGTGGGACTTGAGATGAATCCAGGAGGAGAAAGGAAGATGCCATGACCTAAAGCATGACAACCAAGCAGAGCAGGGCCCTGGGGGCATTGGGTCTAACTATTCTCCCCAGAACTTAATTGCTGGTCAATGGAGCACTTGGGTCATTCTAACCACATAGGTCCTTTCCTGTTCTAAACCTTATGAATCTTTGCCACCCACAGGGGCTACCAAGACCTTTGTTCTTTTTTTTTCATTACAAAAGTATTATTTTTATTTTTCATTTTGGTCAATGGGGGAAAGAAGTGGTGCTTGTTAATTTAAGAAAAAAATTAAAGTTTTTGAGGACTTATTTGAGAAGCATAGTCAAAATGGAAATTTTTTGAACTATGTACTTTTTTTCCCCTTTTTTTATTAATTTATTTTGATTTATCAACAATCACTTCCATAAGCTTTTGAGTTTTAAATTTTTCTCCCTCTCCCTTCTCCCCCACCCCAAGACAGCTTGCAATCTGATGTAGGCTATACATATACATTCCTTTTAAACATTTTCACATTAGTGATGTTGTAAGGAAGAATTAGAACCATTAGGAGGAACCACCAGAAAGAGGAAACTAAACAAAACAGAAGAAAAAAATAGCAAATAGTATGCTTCAATCTGCATTCAAACTCCATAGTTCTTTCTTTGGAGATAAAAGACCCTTGCTCTGACCCTCCCACCTACCCAATCCTCCTCCCTCACTCCCCCAGGACAGCAAAAATATCAAAGGCAGTTTCCTTTAGCCAGGGCTGATGCTGGAGCTAAAAATATCTGGAACCTGACTAGGTAGTTGAGAATTAGGATGAGGGAGTGGTTAGTGGTTAGAAGCATGCAGAGAATTAGGGGAAGGGATAGAAACTGAGAACCCTAGGGATGATAAATATTTAAATTAGCTATAATTAGTATTTATATAATGAATAATGAGTCCTATTGAATGCTCACCCAACAATATTTATCTTATGTTGTCACTCTAGACAGCTGCATAATCCATTTATTCTCCTTTCTCAAGGTGGTACACAGATGAATCTAATAAGATTCTTTAAATAACTCAGGCCAGTGGGACCTGAGCAGAACTTAGCTCCTGCCATGGGGAGGTGGGGTGTGGGGTAGGGGCATGTTGCATGGAAGGATGGGATGGCTAGGGAAAAGGAGTTGTGGGAGGTAAGAAATGATTATATTTCCATATAAGGAAATTGAGAGAAAAGGTAGCTTTAGATCAGAGGTTCTAGAACCTGCTAACATTGGATGAAATTGGTTGTTTGGTTAAAGAGGCTGGAAGTAGGACAAAGGTTAAGCTTTACTTAGAGTTCACATGCGTAATGGGTTCATTTATACTAACTTCTCTGTCCAGAGGGGAGTAATAGCACAGAACTAGGCACATTTCATATGTTAGCAGGAGGAGGGGCATGTTATGAAGTAGGAGTACCAGGAAGATTGTAACCTGGAAGAGTAGGGACCAATTCCAGCTCTGAAGGGAGGGACAAGAAGGAACTGACTGCATGAAAGGCTTTCTCTAGCGTCTGTTCGTGTGTGTCTTTTTCTGGGGGTACCACACACATCCAGTTCTTGCAAGAACCGTAAATAAACATCTCCTTCACTCACTTCAGTTTCTTAAGGGAGGACGGAACTCTGCATGGTATGTTTCTAGCGGAGCAATGAGTTGTGGCTGCATGCTTGGGCTAACCTCTAACCCCCAAGGAGTGACTAAATCCCATTTCTCACAGAGCAATAGACTAAGGGCATTCAGCCACCAAGAATTTGGGAACGACTATAAAACTGGGGTCATAGACTGAAGTGAGTTTAAAAATATACATATGGATAAATATGCACATGCATGCAAATTATTGTATGTGGCTATGTAATACTCACATATACACACATATCTACATGCACAATGCACATATATGCTCATGTACTTTTGTATCCTAAACATCTGTGTGTGTTAAGTACACACACACATACGCTTAAATGCCCCAGTTTCTGCCATGGAGGACAATGGTGTCAAATGGAGACCACTCTTAGAATTCCCCAGCTACCCCGCTTCCCCAGGACACAAGTGTGAGCGTGTGTGTGTGTGTGTGTGTGTGCCAAAGTCAGGGCAGAATGAGCTGGGCAGCATATGAAAGCTGGGTTACAGGCCCGGGTCTACAAAAGGACTAAATTGTTAAGATCATCTCATGATTATTTCCTGGCAGCCAGGGTGGGGAAAAGAGAAAGCAAAGTGACACACCCCCCATCAAAAAGGAGGTAGAATTTGCCTTTTCCCTCAGTTCCTAGACTTGCCCACTAGCTCCCTAAGCCCAACTTTACTTAAGGCTGAATCCTCTCTGCTATCTCCCCAACTCTGTCCCCACTTTACTTCATCATGTCCTGCTGACAATGGACTCCCTCAGTCCCTAAAACCCCTATCCACCTACACAATTTCTAGTTTCCCAGTCTACTAGACACAGAAAATGAAATCTCAGGCACCTGACTTCTTATTGGCTTGGGATCCCCAATAACCTAAAATCGTGGTCATTCTGGCCCCCAAGGTTGGAGAGACTGCATTTAGTGAGGCTCTCACGAAGTTAAGGAGTATCCCAACAGCAAAGGTCCAGGAGCCTGACCTAGACTGATACCAATGCTCAGGGCAAGCCTTCTCCAGTTCTATCCCTTCTAACAATATCTGTCCACTGCACCTCCAACCACACTTTACCAGGACAGCCCTGAATCTGGCCCATGAAGAGGAGCCCCAAATTAGGGAGGGGAGGACATCAGCACTTGCCCATGGCCACAGCCTGGCCATGCTGGACAGTCCCTCTGTGCTCTGTGGCTTTTTATTCTTATGTGATCCTGCAGCTCATGCATAAAGGGATTGGAGCCCTGTATCACAATGGGGATGGGCAGCGGAAAAGTAATGCCAGTAGCACCAAGATGGGCTGGGCAATGGGGACCCTCTCCAGGAGAAGGCACATTAGGTGGATCAGCTAAAACAGACTGAATTGCTATTAACTGATCTTTTCTTCTCTCCTCCTTTCACCCCTTCCCACCTGGTAGAAATGATGAGGTTTGGGGAACCCCAAAACTATCAGGGTGTTGCAGTATCATGGTATCTTCTAGAAAGAATTCTCAGACTCAAACTGTCCTTCAGTCATGTGGAAAAGCTTTATGGTTATGCTTATAAAGCACGTGAAGGTCTTTAGGGAACTTGCAACCCAATGGAAGTGAATCTAAAGCTTTTGTAGGAAAAGTTAAGTGAATGGTGTGCCAGGTATGATAATTAGGTGGTCTGGGGAGGGATCAGGGAGTGGTCAGTTCTCAAAGGAGCTTGCAATTTTTTTATCGACAGCACAAGCATTTTACCCAGAATTCACTATGAGCAGCTGGGGTTGGGGTGAAGGGGTGGGCAACAAAATGGGGACCTCAAGTGGGTGTGTTTTTCTGCCTACAACATCATAAAGTCAATCGATGGTCAGGACTGTCCTGTTACCAATCAATGTCTTGTTAGACCAGATGGATTGGGGAGTGGACATTTATCTTGACTTCTGGAACTTATACGGTAACTGCGGAAGTCAGTATGAGATAGTTCAGCTGGTACAGGAAAGTCCTGTTTAGACAAAAGAAATTCTTACAGAGGACACTATAACAGGGAGAGATAGTTTGCTTCACTGGGGCCCACTCATGAGTTATTGCCAGAGATACGGTCTTTGGGCTGGGGTCCAAGCACCCCATCAGGACCACTAAGCTGAGAAAGAAGTGTTGCCTGAGGAGGGGAGGGAGGAAAGAGAAAGGAGTGAGGACTGAGGGCATTTTATGGAGAATGTGTTGTGTCAAGCCATATGTGATTCCCTGCTATTATCCTGTAGCCTAGCTGGGTCTCTTCATAATAGTCCAAACCAAGAAGCCCATACTGGGTCTCCAAGTACCTCTGGCCTTGTTCTGAATGGTAGAGGAAGGTCAGTAACTTCTAGCCCCTGCGGTTAGGGCTGCCCAAGAGGTCTGGTTCCAAGCTCTGCTCACAAGCAGAACCAAGAAAAAACAATCACAATTAGCCAATGAATTCATCCTTTTTATTTTCACACCCTTTCCCAAACATTGAGTCACACTTTTTTTTCATCACCAACCCTTGGGGTAATAGCAGGCTAGGTGGAAGAATGACCCAGGGCAGGGTTAAGAGAAGATAGTTAGCAGAGGAGTAGTGACTTGTTGGAATGTCCTACTGCCACAATCGCTACTTCTCCCAGGGCAGCAAACAGACTGTGTTTTGGGGAAAAACAACTAGAATGTGGGGTGGGTGGTACCTTGAGACAGAGGAGTGACCCACAAGGGAAGCAGACTACAATAAAGACCTAACAAGTCAGCAATGGATCTGCTGAGTGCTCTCTGTTCCCTAGTACTTTCCTGTAGGCACCACTCTATCAAGACCTGGAGTTGCCCAGGGAATTCCACACAAGGAACTAAGGCCCTGGGACCAAATTCCTGTGGGGCCCAGCCCCACGTTCCAGCCCTAGTTATAAGGTCTTTTCCAAATATCTCATAGGACTGGAGGAAATGTTGAGACCTATATTGACCCTGGTCCCTATCAGCAGGGCCGGAGGAGCAGTAGGTGAATATCCATGACGTTGGTGCCAGTCAACCCAGTACAAAGAAGGTGGACACCACCCTTCAGGTGTCGGAAAAAGGTATTGGAATCATTGTTGGCCAAAGAAGCCATTATATCCAGATCCTCTACTGCTGCCTCAGTGGCCAGCCCTGGGGTGACCCAGGCCCCCGCTGCCTCTGTGGGACCATCCTGCCCATCAGTTCCACCACTCAGGAAGAGAGCCCCCCAGTCACTTATTGTAGACCCACTCAACTCTACAGCCACCCTAAGAGCTAGCTCTTGGTTTCGGCCGCCCTTGCCTGAGCCCTGCAGCCGTACTGTGGGCTCCCCTCCAGCCAGAAAGCAGACAGGGCCCTTGGCCCCCTCCACAGCCTCCAGGACTTCCTCCAAGTTCAGGTCTGAGAGTTGTAGCTCTTCTACCAGGTCCTGAAGCTCATCTTCCTCCTTGTTGGTCCTCATAACCTTAGAGGAGAGGCGGACACAAACTGCCTGAGCCAGAAGCCTATAGAATCGAGCCACGCGACGCACCTCACCTTGCATGACTCTGCTTAGAACCAGAGCCTGGTAACCCAGGGCCTCAGCACGACGCTGGGCCTCAGCCAGAGCCAGGGAATTGGAGCCAATAATCACATTGAGGACATGGCCACAGCCAGAACGACCATGGGGATCTGAGTCAGCCCGGGATAGCACCGTCTTGATAGATCGTGGCAAGACTCCACGGAGGTCATACCGGCTGAGGATATGCAGGCAATCCTGAACGGTGTGGTTACTTGCTACTGTGGGACCACTCGCAATAATATCCACAGGATCTCCCACAACATCTGACAGAATCAGGCTCACCACCTGGGAGAAAGGGAATCAGAGGAAGCATGGGAGGGGAGGAGACCAAGCACAGGAAACGTAAGAAACAATTGGGGATGGACTCTGTAAGTGGCGCTGAACCTGATGGAGCTTCTTGCCCCTGGGCCCATTTCAGCAAATCCAGACTTCTCTATGTGGCATCTCCCGGCCAGGGAGAGTCACCTGATCTTACTCTTCTCCCTTCCTCCAATAAGCCTTCCATGATTAACTCAATCTCTTTCACTCTCCATCCCCTTGGCACACACGCACACACTTTGTAGTATGTCATAATTTAGCAATGCATTTTATAGGTTAATTTGTAAAGAATATGTTTGTTTTCTGTCTTCTCTATTTGGCTGCAAGGTCCCTGAGAAGAACAATGTCACCTTCTTCTGTATTGTAATTCCCATCTCCTGCCCTGTTACCAACGAACCTCAAGCAATGCACCCAACAGGCCTGCCCAGGCCCTTTGAGCAATGGTGGATAATCACTCACCTGTGCAGGGTAAGCAGCCCTGGCCAGGCCCCCACCCTTGAGTTGGGACAAGGCTTTACGTATGGTATTTAGCTCCTGAATTGTGGCACCACTAGCTGCCAGCATCTTGGTGAGCAACTGTTTCTCTTCTAGAGTAACTGGGGGGATTGGAGCAGGAAGCAGGGCTGAGCCTCCCCCTGCAATGGGAAGAAAGTCAGATCAGGTTGGGGGAGGAGAAAAGTAGAGATAGCTGGAGGAGGGGGATATAGGAGAAAATTCAAAGAAGGGAGTCCCTTTTCATACCTACCTTAACACCATCACCACCATCACCACCACCACCACCACCACCACCACCACCACCATCATCATCATCACAGCTGACATCTATATAGCCCTTTACAATTCATAAGTCAATCTGCATATATCACTTCATTTAATCACAATGCAGTTGCTTAACTGTTTGGAATGGACGAACCAACAGTGTTTAGGTTTGGAGGCCTCCCTACACCATGGAAATCTATCACCCTAGAGACAATACTACTCTGTTCCAAGTAACTGTGACAACACTATAGCTTTTCCTTACCAAGAATTGCCAGGAAACAGGTCTGTTACTGCCCTGACTGACTTCTTCCCTCCATTGTTTCATCAAACCACATGAAAAAGCAATAATACTTCAGCCCTCCATAACTGTTAAGAACTCAGACAGCACATACCACAACTTG